CCCCCCCCCATCTCTCTACCCCTCTCTCTCTACCCCTCTCTACCCCCCCCCCCCCCATCTCTCTCTACCCCCCTCTCTCTACCCCTCTCTCTACCCCCCCCCTCTCTCTCTACCCCCCTCTCCTCTCTCTATCTCCCCTCTCTCTCTACCCCCTCTCTACCCCCCCCCCCATCTCTCTACCCCCTCTCTCTCTCTACCCCCCTCTACCCCCCCCCCCTCTCTCTACCCCCTCTCTCTCTACCCTCTCTCTCTACCCCCCTCTCTCTCTATCTCCCCTCTCTCTCTACCCCCTCTCTCTCTCTACCCCCCCCTCTCTCTCTCTCTCTACCCCCCCTCTCTCTCTACCCCCCTCTCTTTCTACCCCCCCTCTCTCTACCCCCCCCCCCTCTCTCTCTACCCCCTCTCTACCCCCCCCCCATCTCTCTACCCCCTCTCTCTACCCCCCTCTCTCTACCCCCCCCTCTCTCTCTACCCCCTCTCTCTCTCTCTATCTCCCCTCTCTCTCTACACACTCTCTCTCTACCCCCCCTCTCTCTCTACCCCCCTCCTCTCTACCCCCTCTCTACCCCCCCCCCCCCTCTCTCTACCCACTCTCTCTCCTCCTACCCCCTCTCTACCCCCCCCCCCATCTCTCTACCCCCTCTCTCTATCCCCCTCTCTCTCTACCCCTCTCCTCTCTACCCCCTCTCTCTCTACCCCCCCCCCCCCCTCTCTCTCTCCAGCCCTCCCTCGCTCTCTTCCTCGCTGTCACCGTGGCGTGCGCGATGACCACCGCCGCCACCACCACCGCCGCCACCACCACCACCACGTGACTTTCCTTTGTGTTGTGCGCGGTGCATTTAGCGCCACAGCGCCTGTGGATGTACAGCGTTTGTGTTATTTGTTTGCTGGTGACTTTGTGTATTTCGTATCGGAATCGTCTCGAGTGCTGTTAGCTGCTGGCGGCAATAGAAGTTGTTTAACAAGTCCAAAGTCTTTCTCGCTGTCGCTCTCGCTCTGTGCGCATTGAATGTGTCCGTGGTGATCGCAGACGAATCATCCTGCGCGTTGCTCATTTCACCTCGCCCACAGTTGAGCCACAGCTCACCACAACTCACCACACCCCACCACTCCTCACCATAGTCTACCTCACCACACCTCGTGACCACACCTCGTCATCACACCACGTGACCACACCTCGTCACCACACCTCGTCATCACACCACGTGATCACCTCGTCATCACACCACGTGATCACCTCGTCATCACACCACGTGATCACCTCGTCATCACACCTCGTGACCACACCTCGTCACCACTCCTCGTCATCACACCACGTGACCACACCTCGTCACCACACCTCGTCATCACACCACGTGATCACACCACGTCACCACACCTCGTCATCACACCACGTGATCACACCTCGTCATCACACCACGTGACCACACTTCGTCACCACACCTCGTCATCACACCACGTCACCACACCTCGTCACCACACCACGTGACCACACCTCGTCATCACACCTCGTCATCACACCACGTGACCACACCTCGTCACCACACCTCGTCATCACACCACGTGACCACACCTCGTCATCACACCTCGCCATCACACCTCGTCATCACACCTCATCACCACACCTCGTCATCACACCACGTGACCACACCTCGTCATCACACCACGTGATCACACCTCGTCACCACACCTCGTCATCACACCACGTGATCACACCTCGTCATCACACCACGTGATCACACCTCGTCATCACACCTCGTCATCACACCACGTGACCACACCTCGTCATCACACCTCATCACACCTCATCACACCACGTGACCACACCTCGTCACCACACCACGTGATCACACCTCGTCATCACACCACGTGATCACACCTCGTCATCACACCACGTGATCACACCTCGTCAT